AATAACTAATATTGACCATAATAGATCCCTTGTTTATATAAATATTATTAAAATACAAACTGTATGGGAAAAAGTAAACTAAACTAATGTTGATTCAAAGGTCATTGATTGACACACAATTTGTATATGTAACACAAAATGTATAAAAAATCACTCATATTTTTAAATGAGCAAATATAAGTGAGCAGATTTTTCACAGAATTTAAACTTAAGACATCTAGAAATGAACAGAATAAATCATAGCATATAGCTTAGTGTAGCTAGTTGTTTATTTTTGTTATTTATTCTCAATTTGACTTGTTAACAAATTATTCAGATCATTAAACCTCCATTACTTAAATACTCTGAGAAGATAATATATGTTGTTAGTTTCCATTTAGTATCAGAGTAAACTGGTTCTGTGTTAGATTTATTCTTGAGCTTACAATATCTTGAGATTGGTATGTTAGCGCATGCTTTGTCTAGTACCTAGTCATGAGTCAGCACTGAGCCTTAATAAATATTATTTCACTGTTTTAATTAAGTTGCGAATCATTTAGCCTCGTAAGTTTGACTGCAGTTCTTTGTTTACAGTTACAGATGGTAGTTAGCCTGGCGATGGCGGATGGCAGACTGCCACTAGCTCTGGTGGGGGAGCGTCCGCTGTCTGCAGCTAGGGCCCTCGCTGAAGTCCCCCTGGTCCTGGTTCCCAACAACCAACTGGCCCTCTTCTCAAATGTCCATATTAGTGCTGTGTCCAGGTCGCAGCCTTTGGTCACCTGTAGCTATAATTCGTACAGTTTGGTGAGTAACTGATACAAAATTAAGGCACTCTTACATGAAACTGACTATTGATATAATTTTACTCTAGATTGTTTGATTAGATAATGAATTGCAGTGTTAAACAAAACCACTGTAATTATTTTTTCAAAATGTTTATATAGTAAGGAAATGGTTAGGGATGTAAACTGTATTTGCCATAACCACAATGTCATTTGATTTTACAGCTATAGAGCTAAAAATGTTCAATCATAAGTTTTTCATATTGTAGTATGTTGATTTATAATTAAAAAATGGAACCCAGTAAAGATGTAAAATAAAGGAACAGATTCTTGGATGGTATTTCCATTTAATGACTCACTTATAGGAACTTCCTCAATAATTTAGTTTTTTCATAATATTTAATTCATATAGAGATTGTTTTCTGACCTAGGTATATGTTCAAATTAAGTGCTATGCTATATATATATATATATATATATATATATATATATATATATATATATATATATATAGTTATATAGTGAAAGCACTTAATTTGAACATATACCTAGGTATAATCATATACCAAGAATTAATCGAACGACAGACTTGGACATTGGAAACTAAAAATATTTTCTAATTTTGGCATAATATTACCCTCCAGGATGTAAATTTCCAATGTCCAAGTCTGTCATTCGATTAATTCTTGGTTGTATCATAAACAAATTATTCTAGTTTTGTAACAGTTTTTATCTATAAGATATAAAGTTTATCTTTTATGATAGATATTATAATTTTTTTCATCTCTTTTCCTTGTATTTTTTAAAATATAGCCAATCAATTTCTAACGGTACATAATTACTAATTTTCTTAATCGATTAATGTTTTATTGTTTCAAGTTTTTAGGTGTTAAATTATTGTCATGGTTACTATTTCTATTTGTGGTTTTAATAAAATATTCTGAATTCATTTGAGCTCAGATTTTTGACAAACAAGCAAAAAAAAAAATAAAAATTTCATTTCGATAATTTCTTTTTCAACTATCAAGAGTATTAAAATTATACTAATTAGTTAATTTTTGTTCTCAGATCTCAATTAGTTTGTAAATTTTAGTATATACTATCTTTTTTTATTTGATGTCTCAGCATACTTTGAAGTATAAGTCTATACACCGAAATAACTTTCTTTTTCATTTTTGTAGGATGCTACTCCAGCAGTGCGAGTGATATTGAGACAACCATTGCTAGTTCAGAGCCCAGAAGCTGCCCTCCCCTTTCCTGTGAGGTTAAGTGTTATTCATGAAGGATTGCGAATGTCGCTTCCAGTAGGTGCTCTCATTGCTCCCGTGCCAGCTTTGTCTGGCCCTCAGCTTGTCAGGGTCATGTATGCAGTGCCTAGCTCTCCTCTAAGTCTTCACTATCCGTATTATTCTCCTGTTCCTTATCCATTTAGGTAATAAACATTGATATATATATATATATATATATATATATATATATATATATATATATATATATATAAAGAGAGATAGAGAGAGTGTGGGTTTATTATATGGGCTACTTTCAGAGAAAATGTTCATTATTTACAAGGATTAGTTTATTCTTAAAGGGAAAGGAAACTTTAGTTATAAGGGTTGGTGTACTATGGAATAACCCTGGCAAATTGGTAGTAGGAGAGATATTGTTGACCAAAGATGAGAAGAAGGTTGAGGGTGCTATCAAAGACAAATGAGGTTTTTGACTGCATCCACAACTCTTCTACTACAATTTTGAATAAGTTATTACAATAAAACTGAACTGAATATGAAATGGAATAAAATTTAGTTTTATGACATAATTATTTTGATCATTAAAGTCTGAAATATAACATTAAACCAAATTGAGTAATAAAGTTCAAATTGCTAAATAATACAACAACAAAAATTATAGTTATTTATAGTTAGTTTGTTGGTTAAGGGGATATCAAATCAAGCTAGAACTTATTACCTATATTGGACCAAATTTGAATATTGAAATCATTAATCATGAAATAATTTCTTTTACAGACCAGCTTATGATGAAAATATCTCCACAGTAACAGCACGCCCAGAGGTATCTCCTCCTGTGAAACCATCACCTCAACCAGAGCCAGACAACAAAATTACCTTGAAAAAACCAGCTCCACAACTAGTAACAGTTCTTCAGTTTCCTGAAGAAATAGCTACTCCGGAATCTTTATATTATCAACCTCCAGTTGAGGATGAATTGGGCAACAGAAATCCACCAGAGGCCGTAGTTCCAGCAGGTATTGTTCAGTCATCCCAGCCACGACCGCATCTTCAGTTGTTCATCAATTCTAAGGAGTCACCCCTGCTTCAGTCATTCAGGGATGAAGCACAAACTAGACAACGGGAAAAGGCTGCTAGTTCGAATTCCATTACTGTTGAGGCCCTCTAGGACCATTATTAAGGACACTCCTCTAAACACTGCCATAGTTTGTGATTATTTTTATGAAGGCTAGCTTTTAGGCTTTAATTAGTTTTTCAATAATGGAGCCAGTTAAAAAAAGTTACCAAATATATATTTCTATTATCATTTGTTCTAATTTCTTTTGAATATTGTAAAATAAATGATGAAAAAGTATATCGATATTCAGGAAGGCCCTTTAAGTATCTGATTACCTAGCTGGCAGTTGTGTTTGGTGTTCATTTAATATGGCAACAATGATTCTTGTTTCAGATTTAAAACTGATTATTACAAAGCTAAGGATAACATTTTGACTATTATACAAGATACTTATGCCATTTTAAGATCTACACCTTTTCACATTATTTAAATTAACAGCCTTTTTTTCATCATCCTATTATTAGTTGTAACAATAGTTTTTATATATATATATATATATATATATATATATATATATATATATATATATATATATATATATATATATATGTTATTGTTTAATTTTTAAAATTATAATAGATTTCCAGAAGATGTGGCCATTCCTAAACAAGAGGCTATCAAGTACTTATCATTTTTTTTTCAGAAATCAGCTACTTTATTAGCTATGTAAATATGAATTCCTTAAATTTTTAGTTATCAATATAGATAATTTTAAAAACAACTATTTTATAAAATATTGAGTAAGTATATAAAATTATTTCTTGTTTTCTTAATTCTGAAGAAAAATGACAAGTACAATACTTTTATATATTATTGCCAAAAATGTTTCATATATTTTGAAAAACAGGTATTGCCAAGTACCACAATATTATTGTCAAACTTTTAAATGATTTATAATTATTTCAAAACAGAAGATATGTTATACTTATCTTAGTATTTATCCAGAAGAGTATGTGCTTTTGATTAAAGCTATACAGATTCGAATGACTTCACTTTACTTATCCTCAAAATCTAACCCAAGAGCCATGCAGCATGTCTAATAATAAAAATTCAGGTATGGTGAGTGATGAAAAAAAGTTAATGTTATTAAATCCGATAAAAAGGTTTTTTAAAACGAAAGATTTTATCTTACCAAAGATTGTAGCCTTCTTATCATTCTACCTTTTTGAAGAATTTACAAAAAGTGAAATAGTTTTAGTACTAATCATGTAAAAAATTTAAAATTGTCTTCTTATTTAATCAAAATGTGTTGCTTCTGATGCCTCTTAGTCTTGGTCCTAATGCTATATTGGGTCCAGTATTTTCCATTTTTGCTTTCTGCTCAAAAATCCTCTAATGTAAATAAATTAAAGTAAACTCTACTCAACACTATAAGAAATGATCAAACCAAATAAAAAATGAAACCAATTTCAACCTTTTTCAATGAAGAACTAATACACACAAAAATCCTTATCAATACCATTCTTTTTTTTTCTAAAATGTTTTATTTAATGTTAAGATAAATTAGTTCATTTGTATTAAACAATTCTTTATCAAACTCCAATCACATTTGAAATACTCCAGTATTGAAATTCATTTAACAAATTTTTACAGCTATGAAACTGCATGATCATTTTTTATTTTCAAAACTTTATTTAGAACAAAATTGTTTTTCCTCATCTATTTGCAATTTTTAATAAACAGGACAGGCAACTATATCACTACAAACTAATTTAACATATAAGGAGGACAATATTACTAATTATTTACAGAATAAAATAGAAATGGAAGTAGTAGAAAACATAAAAAAAGAAGTAAAGCAAGGAAGTAAGACAAGATCTAATATTAAATGTTAATAAATTATGAATTTTAATTATGGGACTGGGTGAAAATAAAACAGACAAAAACAATTTATTCTACTTAGAACGAAAAGCACATTTATGTAATAGTCGGATCGATGGAAGTTTTTCCTCTGTTGGATATTCACACTTAACACAATCTTTTGTATACTGTATGAAGGCATTTGATAAAGAAGAAGAATCCATTGAGTTTACAACAGTTTTTTGTTCATCACAGTAAGCATCATTGCTTAGTTCATGCTTAGTAGCTTTATTTGATGCAAATTTATTTTTAACATGATCAAGACACGTTCCTCTGACTAATATATCATTTTCAACTGACACTGAATTTGTTTTAGTTTGTTGTTTATTATTAAATGAATTTGACCAATTTATTTTGTATATGTCTGTCACTCTCCTACCTTTAGGAGAATTTCTATATTCCAGGTAATTTTTTGGATGGAATAATTCTTGACGTGGTATATATTTTGGAGGAGTTTTAAGATACCTTTCAATGCATGATGAATTGAAACTTGAATTGAAAAAGTTTTCTTCAATTTTACTGGTACTGCCCATAACATGGGGTTGGAAATGACAGGCTTTCTGTGTTGTGCTTCTTTCCATAGCCTGTGTTGGTTTGAATGTTTTTGTGTGTTCAGGCTGTGTTTCTGCAATTCTGTATTTACTACTTTTCAATGGATTAATTTTTTTTAAATCCTTTTCTAAAATTTTAGTAATCCTTTGTTTTTTAATAAATCCTTTAGGAAGTTTTGCTCCTGTAACCTCATTTTTTGACAGAACCTGTTTCACAGTTTTCCTTTTTTCTACACAAAGGGAAGAAGGTGATTTGTTCTTCATTGGCAAAGCTGAAGTACTGTAAAGTTTGAAATTATGGGTCTTTTGACTTAATTGATGAGATGAATTTTTTTCACTATTAGTTACTTTGTTGCACATCCTGTATAAATTACTAAGCATAGCATCATTGATTTTTAACATATTGCCTTTACTGGTTGAAGAAGTAGATTTACTATGATCATCTTTTACATTGAGATAGTGTTTAAATTCATGAACAGGACAACTGCTACTATAAACAGAATTGTGTGTGATCAACAGTGAAGCAGATTCACTATTGCCATTATTTGAGGTGTAATTTATTTGTTTCTTCAAATGAGGTTTGACTAATTTGTTCTTTGCTGTATTTATTTTATTTTTTTCTTTATCCTTTATAGACATAAAAGGATCTTCATTACAGACCTTTGTTTTTAATAAAGATAAAACACCATTTTGATTCTGTAAATCGTGTTTGTTATTTTTAATTTTTGGTAATAAACCTTTTAACAAAAAATAATTGTTTATTCCATTTTTGTCTCTTAAACTGAAAGAATGTTCTGTTTTATTTATTTCATTTACCTTCTGGCCAACATGTCCTGAAAAAAATTCTTCCATTTCTGGGACATTTTTTTTCTTACTAAGTAAATTATATTTTGAAGAAATGAATGACTTTGAATATTTGCTCAAAGGTGCTAATGGTTTCTTACCTTTAATTGAATTTTTGATACTGGTATTTTTCTGTTTAATAGGGTTAACTGGAACCTCTAAATCATTAAGATTCATAATACTCACTTTAAAGCCTTCCTGCTTAGCATTTTTTCTTTGTGGTTTATTATTTTCTTTTGAACTAATACGCAGTGATTTTATATAGCTAATACTGTCTCCCTCATGCAGGTCAGTTTTTTTATTGTTTCTATTTCCTTTGGTTTTATTTGATACATATTTTTCTGTAGGGGTTGATGGTAATTTATTATTATAGTGTAGATTATTAGTTACAATAATACTGTCTCCCTCATGCAGGTCAGTTTTTTTATTGTTTCTATTTCCTTTGGTTTTATTTGATACATATTTTTCTGTAGTAGTTGATGATAATTTGTTATTATAGTGTAGATTATTAGTTACACCAGGAACTTTTGTTTGAGTAACTGATGTACCTTTATGACATTTGTTTAAAATTTTCCTACTTTTATCAGAGGATTTTGAAATATTTTTCAAAACATTATTTATTTTCGATATTTTCAATTGATTGAAACCAATATGATTTTTCACTGAGTCTTTCTCTTCAGAAATGAGTTCATGGGCCATATTTTTGTAGAAAATAGGGGATTCTTTTAAAGTAGCTGCTTTATTTTGAGGAAAAGAATCCGACCCTTCATTTGTTTTGTTTTCATTATTCATATTTAGATTTTCTGTTTCACTGTTATCCTCTATGACATTTGGAAATGATTTTTCATCTTCGTTATGTTTGCTAGTATCAATAGCTTTATTCTGTTGGTTTAAAGGCTGCAAAGCTAATTTGATTTCTTTAATAACATCTTCAAATGTCATTTCAGTTGGCTCAGAATTTACAATTTGATGAAGGGTTTGCGGATTTTCAAGATCCATTTGTACTTCATTTATTTCAGATGTTATAAATTCATTGTTTTTTTTAATTATATGGTCCTGATTGGAGGCTGTAGCATCTGTTACAGGGCTTTGTTCTTCGGGTACACGCAAGTCATTTTTAGTTGTATTTACTTGTTTAACTTCATTAATGGTGAAATCATTTGTGTTCACTCTGTCATCATATTCGAAAACATCACTATCTAGTGTTTTCATGAACATATTAAGATCTTTGCTTACATGTAAACTACTTTGGTTTCCTTGAAATGAAATATCAGTTTGTGTTTTATTATGTTTATATTCTGGTATCGATTTTATTTTTTTTGTACTTAGAAAAATTGAATTGTTTTCAATATTATTATTTTTGCTTGTAGATGGGTTATTTATGGCTGAAATTAGTTCCTTTTCACATCTTTCAGCAATGTTATTGATTTGTGTTACTTCATTCGAAAATGCATTATAGCAAATACTTTTTACTTCCTCATTGGATTTACTTTCAGAATTCGTTCTAATATTTTTATTCTTTGCAGTCAGACTTGTATTATCTTTGTCTCTTATATTTGTTAATTTATTTATAAGATGTTTACTTCTTAACTTGTACTTGACAAAATCCTTAGTATCTTTACATAATTTATCACCAGGTGAACTCTTCAAATTTCCGATGATTCTATTATTGTTTTTCCCTGAATTTTTCCCAACTAATAATTCATATGCTTTTTTATTTATCTTATCATAAATCATGTTTTCTTTATTCAGAGATAGGTTTCCTAATAATGCATTTTTCATATTCTTAACGTCTTTTATTTTAAACAAAGAATTGTCTGTATTAAACTTTTTATCAAATGTATGATTTCGTTTTTTAAAAACAGTGTTATATCTATCCCTAGTATATTTTTTATTTTCCAACTTAGCAATGCTATGGGCTAATTTTTCACTCTTCACATTCTCCAAACTATCGGATTTATACTGTTCAATTTTATAATCTTGAGCAGGCTGAAGATGTTTTCTGTAGACATTTCCATAAATATTGGTTGTAAAAGTTTTCTTGTTATCATCTAACATATCTTTTTCTGATTCATAAGAAGTGTTAAGTAATATTTGTTTATGTAAATTTGATTTGTGTGTGACACTGTTTTGTTGACTTTTATTTGAGTCCTTTTCCTTATCATACTGTTTTGTATGGTTGATATGGTTAAATAAGTTTTTATTTATTGATGCATTTCTGTATTTTTTATTGACTTCTGATATGGGAGTATTAGTAGTAGCACTTGAAGGATCTATTATGTTTTGCTTCTGAGAAGTTTGATTTTTGGACTTGAGATTAAATACTCCTTGACCATTATAGGAGCTGTCAAACTTTGTTTTACTATACTTTTCATTGAGTATACTGTTTTGTTCTCTTGTTTCATCTTGTTTATGATAATTGGGATGAATAGGTTTTCTTATACCTGATTTATAATCAAATCTTTCCTTTAAAGTACCTTCTACAGGTATGAAAATTGAATCCAAAGCCTTTTCTTGATATTTCCTATTTTGTGGGTTTGTCTTATCATTAATCTGTTTGTTAATATTTATTTTTCCTAATGGGGTGGCACTTATGTCCGCAAAATCACTTGTACCATCCTTGATTAAAATAGATTTATTCTTTATTACATTTTTTGCTTTTTGAGTGAGATTTTGAATATTTTTAGAACTTGATTTAAAACTTCCAACATTTGCTGTTTTACGTTTCAACATTTCATCAATTTTTCTAAAGTTGTTTTCAACTTTACTGGGCCTCGCTTTAGGGTATTTAGTTTTTTCTGATCCAGATTTTAAATTTTCAATTTCTTTTAAATTCATTTTTAGGCTTTCATCTTGCTCCTTTTCAAGTATCATTTTTTCAGTAGTTTTTTTAACAAGACTTTCTACTAGTGAAACTATACTGTTGAAACTTATTTTTCTTTCATTAGGTTTGTCAGGGCAAACAGCAGGTTCGCACAAGTGAGTCTTTGCAGAAGAGGACTTTGGCACAAATTGAGCTATTCCATTATTATTTCCTAAAGTGTAGTCTAAACTTACTGGCGAAATACTTTCACCAGTTCTCATATATGCTGGAATAATTCTATTTTTTTCCAGATTATCACTTTTATGCCGTAAACAGAATGCTTTCGGGTCAAATGGATTATCTCCCGATAAATGCCTAACTTCTACTGGAATCGGTGGTTTTATTTTATCAACTATTTTATCTTCAGTCGCACTTTCTTTCTTGTTTATTTTTAACCCATTTACAAACTGTTCAAATTCTTTACTTTTCCTGTATCTGATAGCAACATTACGGCTACAGGTTTCAGCTGCAGTTTCTCTAGTTTTACAAAATAATTTTGCAAATTCCGTATCTTTTTGTAAATTAAATACAGATTCTCTTATTAAATCATTTTCAAAAGGTAATATTCTAGGGATTCCATATCTTGCTTGTATTCCAAACCTTCCAAATAAGACTGGAAGTGCAAAATATTCTGTACCATCAACTTGTGTGGTTTTTGTAAAAGCAATGTTCATAATGTTAGGTTCACCCCTCAGCCCTGCAATTACTGAATTCAAAAATTTTACAGTGGCATGAGCTTTATTTAAAGCTTCTGTACTTCCTTTTGCTTCATATATTAAAGGTGATGCTTGTTTGATTTCTTCTATTAATCTTTTCATAACAGCCTGAAATCATAAAATAGTTATATTTTTTTTTCAGTGATAGATTTATAAAATGTACAGTATTAGTTGATTATATAATTTCATTGTTGCTTTATAATACTTTATGTATACATCTTAATAAATACTAGAAGGTAGGAACATTAAGTTGGTCACTTATAAATCCTTTAATACAAATTACATTAATTTCCATAATTGAGATTTGTATAATAATCTTGGTGTACTATCACTTTGAATAATAATTTTAAATATTTGTTATTTGAAAAATAAGTTTTTTTTTACATATTCTTATAAATAAAAACTGAATTCTAGCATTTACTTAATTAGAAACATCCCAGATCACAGCAAAAAAAAAAAAACATAAATGTTTCATAATAATTTATTGCTATAATTTTTGCATTATCTATTTTTTTACAAATTTATAGAGAACTCAGTTTATTTCGTAATAAACATAATTAGTAGGGGCTTAAAGCTTATCTAGCAATGAACTATCCTAGAAGTGAGGATTTGGTATTCAAGTAGTTGGTTCATAAAAACAATCACGATGATGCATGATTTTGTGAAATACAGATCTTAATTGTTGCTAATTAGTTGTGTATTCACCTCCAGGCCGATGAAACTTTGATTCTAACATATCCTTTATATCATATCAGGTATTAATCATGTATAATCTGAGATATAAATTTATTTCAAACGTTGTTTTATTTTATTAAAACTTTATTAATACAATTAAAGTAAAATATATAATAAAAATTAAATTATCAATTATAATTTTTTTTCTTTTATTTTGGTCTTCAATTCTTCATCCACACCTGTCATGGTAGTGACAATTAGCAGATTTGCTGTTAGGTATAAAATAACATGGTAGGCATGACAAAGAATGAAACCCAGCAGCACCTCTTCCCTGGTCTGTTTACATCCTAAAATCAAGCAAGGAGATCTCCTTTTCAGTCGCCTCCTGATTTCAGCCGTGGCCATGGTGTTGATAAGCCCATTGAGATGTCCATGTAGCTTAAGATGAAGTCGGGGGTAGAGAGTACGTATGTGCTGGTCAATGGTTGGTTGTCTTAGGTCGGTATATAAAGTCTAGTTGTTGACATACCAGGGGACTGCAGTTATTATTCTTAAAATTTTAGATTGAAAAGATTGTAATTTTTGTGAGTCTTTTTAGCTGAACCGTAAATCTGTGAGGTGTATGTCCATTATAATTATAATTATAATTTAAAATCCAATTATTAGTGTCCAATTTTTAATATTAATGATTATCCAATTCATTATTATTTATGTCCAATTATTAATTCAATCATTATTTATCCAATCATAATTAATTAGTTAAATTATTACCATTTCAAATCCAATTAAGTATAAATGTGCAAAATATAAAAACAAGTTAGTATTTTAAAAGGAGAATAACATGAGATTTCTTTTTAATTTAATTTTAATATTGGCAGTTGATAGATATAATTTCAGTAGAAAGTGCGATTTTGAGCATTTCTGGTCAATTTTTGATTCCTTCTAACTCAGAACCAAAAATGTAAAATTGTTATTTAAAACAATACATCTTTGTTTGTATGCAGTATGTAGTTAAAATTGAAAGGAAAATTGAATTAATAAATAAGCAGTGTATTTAGTTCTATGAATAACTAGTTTTTGCATTTACAGCCTATTGCAGTATGATTGTTAATATATTGTTCTGTAGAAAGTTGGGATGGGCGATAGTTCAGAGTACTAAAACTATGGATGGTGCTATTGATAGTTCGTAACTTCCCCAAATATAGAAAATTAATTTAAAATTTTCTATACAAATAGGAATAATTTTAACAACACTTCTTCCTACATTTATTCATGTCCAAGACATAATTTCACTATAACAATTTAAAGTGAAATGTTTGATAATGAAAAGTAATTCCGAATCGTCATACATAGAAAATAAATGGATTGATGGTATGAAGGCCTTTTATTAAAAATATTCCAATCAATAAATGAAATTGAAACAAAGATTAGAAGCCTTCGAAATAACAAAAATACAATCTCAAATTATAAGGATGAAAAATAATCAGGAAATGCAGTCGCTCACAAGAGTATTGGTGTTGTCTCCAAACCAATGTCCTGGGTCCAAACATCAGCAAACTTAATCAACATCATTAATGACTGCATTTCCTGACTATTTTTCATCCTTATAATTTTAACACTCGACTATATCTCCATCTCTAATTATAATCTCAAATTATTTTCTTAGAAATATTTTCCTGTTAACATTTTCAATAGTTTACTTTTTTTAATGCTAACATCAACATAAATATTTAAAAATATATCCAAAATAAATGCTAATTATTGTTATGAAACTTGCGGAGCATTTTACAGTATATAACTAAAACATTCAGCGAAAAAATCCTCCTTAATTCTGTGGCGGACTTACTTAGATACTATCGGTAGTCTTCATCAATAGGATCGAACTATCTATTCTATCAATCTATCTATAGTGAAATCTATCGTTTATCGCCCTTCCTCAATAGATCGTGAATGGAATAAGTTATCAGTTTTATAGGTGTTGCAAGGAGACGATTGGATAATCAATAACTAAAATTTCTAATTGTAAATAAAAATAATTAACGATATAATTTTTTTTACAAATTAAATTAAAATCTCATTACTTCTGAAATATTGAAATGTGGTTTAGCTTGAGAAAACAGTGGGACAATTGTATCTTCAGAATCACCGCCAACAACAGGTAAAAATACCGATCGAGGATCAGTGTTGATATAGGAAGCCAGGATACAATTCGCTCGGATATTGTGGAATGATGTCGTCCCCACCACCCTATTGCAATCGTAATAGCCATTTTCTTGTAACAACTCAGACAGCACAGGGACCAACTTATTGATAGGTGAAGCGGCAACTATGATGAGAGCCTTAAAAACATTTGAAAAATTAAACTCTGATTCGAATTGACAGAAAAAAATTGATTATACTACAATTAAGCTAATTTAATTACATCAAGTATAATAATAAAACAATATTACATTCGGTGAACTTTCAGAAATGGCTTTTGCATAGTCCTGCATTTTAGGTGCCATGACGTCAAAACATGTTTGAGGAGTGGAAAAGATGTCATCTCCGATCAAAACGATGTCAGATCCCTGAAACCAATCAATAACTCACTAATGAAAGTTTTAAATTGTATACAGAATGTTTTATTATCATTAAATGAAACACGAATATTAAGAAAAAGTTTCACGTTTATGCAAAATAGTATGACTTGATTAGAATTAATTTATGAAATGCATATTCACGTTAAACTGTATGAAAAGCTAAATATGTAGATTATTACTTTGATAGCGTCGTTTAATTTGGTCTTTCCTTGATATGCTTCTACTCTGCATGGTGTGTTCATGAATCTTATGTCATCTGCCGTACTTGTATCTATTTCATCATAAAGTCTTAAGTTGTAAATGTTTGGACACAACTTCAGTAGTAAAGAAGATGCCTGCCCAAATAGACTGTTCAGCCCTAATAGAGCTACCTACAAGAAAATAAAATAAATAAACAATTAAAGATGGCTTATTTCTGCTTGTAATCCATTCTTCAATATTAGTTAATGAATGAATGGAGAAGGGTGGTGCTCGAAGTAATGATATTTATTAAATTTTCTGATAATATATTTAAACGTGCTATGCGTTATATTATACTTCCTAAAACCTCCTACATTTTTCAATGACTTTTTTAAATATCTTGTTAGGAATTAAATGATCACAATTGGAATTCTTTACTTCTCCATGAAATTTCCTTTCGTTTGATAACTCATACAAAACCATCACTCCTGAGAGCAGAGTATCTGTACTACCGTTTTATATATAGTGTAGATTGTTTTGCCTCTTGTTCAATTACGCCTGGTGAAGGCCTGCTGAGTGGGTCGAACCGTAAGTTTCAATAAAGTTTACAGTACTGAAGTTGTTTCTTGACCGCCACCACGGACCAATCTTTCCTTGTTTAATTTTTAATAAACATAAATCCTAAATATCCCTATCAAATAGTGATAATACTATGAATAGGTTAGCGGAGTGATTAATATTAGAAAAATGGTCTCTTTTCTACTTTAAGCTCACCAATGAATCTTTTTTATCACTTTAGTGATTTCACCGTTAATAATAGTTACATAAACATGTTACATTTTAAAGTGTTGCACGGGCGGATCTACGGGGGGGGGGGCTTTCGGGCTGAAGCCCCCTCCCAAAATGGAAAAATATAACCATGTTTTATCGAACAAAATATTAAAAAAGTAACTCTTAAAGTATTATTGTTCGTGTGATTAATATTAAAAGGGCTTTAGGAATCACTTAAACACCATTTCATACAGGTAGTTAGTTTCTTTCTTTTTTTCCAAAGTAATTATCGTAATTTTTATGAAAAAAAAGCTTTCGGGCTGAAGTCCCCCCCCCCCCAAATTAAATCCTGGATCCGCTAGTGAAGTGCTGGAATGAATTTATTAGAACTAAGTGACGCTTTAGGAAGTGAAAAGGTCATAATGACTTTACAGAGATATGGATTGTTACATAATACAAGGAGGTGTTTTAGGTTACACAGAATGTCAATTTGTTGTGTGAAAGACAGAAATCTTTGTTTCATGGAAGTCACAGACAGAAGTCATGAAGGTGTACTTTTGGAGGCCAAGACCTTCGTGTAGAGATCGATAAGTTGCGTTTATCAAGAAGGAAATGTCAAGTTGGAAGAGTATTTCCTCAACAGTTGGTCTTCGGTGGTATCTGGAGGGAAACTGATGAGGTATTCCTACACGCTATCCCTGACTGCACTGCTGCCACCTTAACTGAAAGTATAAAAACATCTATAAAACCGAGTACAACAATATTTTCTGATTTATGTCAATCTTATTCCGGAATAGATTAAATTTCAGGTTAGAATTATAAACACCTCACTCTCAACCATTCAGAAAATTTTGTTGACCCAGTTTCAGGCGCATACACCCAAAGAATAAACACCCTTTGGAACGGAATCGAATGCAATAAAAATTACTTTGGAACAAGAAGGAGTATGATAAATTCTTACATTTGTGAATTTAATTGGAGGAAAATTTATCAAAATGAATGTTATTTTGGATCAATTTTGCATTGCTTTAAACATTTCCATGCCTCTAGAAAATTGAATAAATATTGTATTTGTGGTTGGTTGGACCACATTTAATAAAGTTACTTTTTATTTTTTAGGTTAGTTTTTCCTAGCCACATGCTCAAGTAATTGATCTTAACTATGAAATCACTAAAATGATAAAAAAATTTACTGGTGTACATTAAGTATAAAAGAGCCGAATATTGATGTAACTCCTAAAAACCTCCGACAAAAGTAAAAAATGCATGAGTTACATAAATTTTGGTGTGCCCAAGGAAAGTATTCTATGAAATTTCTTTTGATCTTTCTGCTCTCCGATCCCCATTTCCTTCCCAAGAGCGATGCCGCATGCTCCCTTTTCTAAAATAAATTATTTCTCTTTTCTTTAAAGGTTTGAAGTGGAAGTAGAATGATTGAAAAAATGTGGTTTATTTACAATTACAATTTATGCTGTCTGTTACGATTTTTCTTCCTTTTTCTTTGTTTTGAAAGTTATTCTAAATAGAAACCTTTCAAAAGTATGGTTTCTTCCAAAAATTCATGACCACATAAAAATGTGCCCTCTAAAAAAGTTTGATGTAACTTGCACCATGCCATCCTCTTCTGAACACTTCTGTTTCTGGTCAATTTTTGATAAGATATGGTATATCCCCACACAGGTATTGAGCATAAACATTAATTGTAAACATTTTCATTTTCATACATAAACTGATGGTAATTGGCTATTTGTTCACTAATGGAATTATTAGAAAAGAAATGTATGAGAATTGACATACCGTACAGTTATCGTTGGATATGTAAAGATTCTAGAACAGTCACTTTAGGCTTTCTCTCTGGCACTAGCGACAACACCCGTGGGGGGATATAACATGTATCAAAAAATGCGATGGTCATTTAATGACATGTGGGTTCATCGACATTCCTAGGGAATAGAAGTTCAAAGTTTTGTGTCTTTCTTAATTTATCTGGAAAAAAAGAGATGTAGGAAAGGACCTTGTCAAATATTAATTATTTTGAGACAAATATAATACCAATTTATCTCAGATACTAAAATATTGATATAGCACCATTGCATGTCAAAAATCATCTCAGATGCTTCTACAGTTTAAAGACCTAGGTTATATAATATAACTCTCATGAAAACATAAGAACATTACCCGATATTTCTGCATGACCCGAAAACATACATAGGATTTAGAAATTGTTTTTAAAAGGGGTTTTAAAAACAGTTATTCCATCTTCACTAAACTTTTTTTCAACTGAAATTTATTTTTTTAGATGACATTAAATTTCCATAGCTTATTTTTTAGGTTATAACACATGTGTGAGGGAATGGAATAGGTTGCGAGTGCCTCTTGAAGTTGATGAGATTTTATCTTTTCTTATATTTTTTCCAAGTAAACAATAATGATCGACATCTATCTTAAAATAAAGTGGCAAATATTTTGGGATTGAAAACCGTAAGTGCCACGTGATGGAGACTAGTGACCGTTGGTTCATCCTCCTAGCTCGTTTTCAAAAAGTTATTTGATAATATAAGGTGATCTCTCGTCCAACTTCTTTTCCGGGTGTTGTTTGTAGTGTTTGTAGTGGTTAGGATTGTCCGCACTGATTGTGTACGGTATCGATACTCATCTTCCCAAACAAAGTTTTTAGGTATCGATACTTATTATACGATAAGATCATTGGCATTATATCGAATCGAAATCAATTATAAATTCTAATAAGCTAAAGCGTTACAGTGTTGTCAGATTGGTGGATTTTCGGAACCGACACAAACAATTTCCGCATTTACTATTCACTTGCTTCAACGTTCACCAATCCTTGGCAGTCATATATCTTATGTTAGATATAAATCTTCAGGACAAAAATAGAAAATTTTAGGGAAAATTTAGACCTCTATGACGAAGGCATCTAACAATACTGATCGCCTACATTTGTGGTATATTCTTCCAAAATGGTAAAATTTCGATTACTCTTGATCTAAGACATTTTCGCAGTGTTTTTAGTCTCATATTGTAGAATATGTCCCATAGAACATTCCGTAAATGAGCATACATTTTTCAAGGGGCAGTCGACTAATTATAATTATTGGAGACTGCCAACAATCGTCGCAGCTCCACATAAGAATATGTTTTTTGAGACGATTACTCACTTTTGAATCTATTATTTTTTATTCGAATGCGAGCATTGTTTCAACAATATAGCCAAGTGCTCTAAGATAATTAAAGCAAAATTTGTGTACCTTTTTCTGTAGAATCTGGAGAATAACGATGATTTTAACAATCCTAATGACAATAAAATTTCAAACATCACAAAATAACTTGAAAGTATTATCTTTATCTGTTCTTAACAATAGCCCTCTTTAAATAATAAAGCAGGGTGGGCAGAGAATATCATGTCGCCTCCCCAATAATTCGAAGTACAAAACTAAAAATTAATAAGACTTAATCTAAATAAATACATACAATTCGTAAACTAAAATAAATTTTGAAAATACGAAAAATTAATTAAGATCCTATAAGTTCGTAGTTGTTTCACGATGTTCCAAAATTAATTTTCACGTGATGTTCACATCACTATTTGTAGAATAAAGTTGATCAGCATCTGCCCGAGTTCACATTCATGAGTCAAACCTTCTTACACTTCAGAGACTTCAGGATACTTCTTTAAATTGGTATTTATGATATACCCCCCTTTACCAATCAGATTAATTTCGCAGGATCTCAGCTTAGTCAAGATGTTCGAAAGACGGTTTTTGTTCATTCTTCTCCGCGGAATCATAGCCTTCTTTGAAAGCGACCATATAGCAAGCATGTCCTAAGCTTCTTCCAGTTATGTTTTGAATACTTGTTGTTTATACCCCTTCCTTTTCTGAGAACTGCATGGTCGCCTGGTATATTTTCATTGATGTCACAGCCTGTGGTTAAGCTAGCAAGTAACATTGATAGCGAAGTAAAAGTAGTTTTTTTCGCCTTGGAACTGATAAAAAAGTCTAAACCGCAAAAAGTTGTGGTCCTAATTGATCCGCTGGCTGTAATAATTGCCATTTCAGATCCTTCCAACTGTACTACAAATCAAATTAATGTGTGACAGGAATTGATTGAGAAGCTGATTTTAGAAGGCATAGATGTCGTTTTACTAGTCGATACTAGTTGTCAGGTAATGAAAAAGCTGATCAATTAGCAAAAGAAGATGGCAGCAAAGATCAGCCAGGTACGCTAATTCCATTCTTGACGGCAAAAAAGCTAATTAAAACATTAATCACTGGAGAATTGGAACAGAAACGGCAGTTGGAGTTGAAAGAGAAGCAATCGGCTTTATCAATAGAAGAATATGGAGGACTGTTTGTGGATCTAAAAGTGAGCCCGTTAAAAACCAGACCTGACTATCTCCAAAGCCACCTATACCGTATTGGAGTTGTCGAATCGACAACATGTCCACGACAGGTCTGCTTCTACTGACTTGTACCAGACTTCAGAACGCCAGAACCAAACCGAGGACTGAAGGTGAAGTTTACTGGGCTACTAGACGTTGCATGGCCGAAACAGCTTAAGACAATCAATGCATAGGAAAAAACACTCATTCTTACTCAATATAAAATATGATATAATCGTATTATATAAGTATGGAAACATTCCTCAAAAATAATCCAGAATTATATTTAATGAAAACAGATAAAACAAAACATTAGCACTTATTCTCAAAGAACAGTATATCTATTAAATGACAGGTAGGTGTACAAAACTATAAGCCATGACCGCGGAAAAGATTTAAATATAATGGTCACAGAGTACGCTAATAAATTAGAAAATTCAAATTTATATACTAGACTTACACTGATTGATAATTACCACCCAAACACCAACAATTCACTGTCTGATAAAACGCATAAAAAAGACGAGTCTTGTCGATCAATAGTTGACGCTACTTACAGCTCAACATACATGCCAAAACTCCTGAATTCAAGCTTGAACTAGTTTTTAAGCAATAAATCATTTTGATGTTAAAAACTCAATAGATTTTAAAAAACAAAATGAAATTCCCTAAATTTTATAAAAGATGAATATTCGATGTCCAGTTATGATGTAAAATCACTGACCACACTATTGAAAGTAGTCTACAAACTAATATCTGAAAATTGGGATAAGATTGAACCACACGCCCCAACAAAATGCAGGACGATGTTTCTTGAAGAAATCACACTATAAAATAAACAAATGTTCGGTCTTCCGATGGGCGATTCGTTATCTGTAAATCTGTAATGTATAACCCTGAATTATAGTATCGAAAAAGCATGAAAGAAATCGAATATAAAGCTTTTAATAATAGCCAAATATATCAACGATATATTTGTTATTCTTAAAAATGAAAAGCATTCTATATTCCTCGATAATCTTAATTCAATCCATCTAATAATAGATTTTATATATGAAATAGAAAATAAAAATAGCATACATTATCAGAATTTATCTATAAGAGAGAATGAGTTGATCAGGGGGTGCCGTCAAATAAATACTAAATTTTAAAAAATAATATTTTTAATTATTACGCCGACGTTTCGACCCACCTTGCAGGTCTTCATTAGGGCTACAAAAGATACAAAATATAAAAGGTACATAGTGAAAGTAAAATAAATGAATGAATTGATAAATGAATGAATCATTTATTTTATTTGCACCATGTACCTTTTATATTTTGTATCTTTTGTAGCCCTAATGAAGACCTGCAAGGTGGGTCGAATTTCGGCGTAATAATTAAAAATATTATTTTTTAAAATTTAGTATTTATTTGACCGCACCTCCCTATCAACTCATTCTCATGTTATATCACGGTCAACTATCTCTACATCATTACGAATATAACTATAGTTAAATACCCAAAATTTTTATTATAATCACCCCAAAACTAAAATCATTAATGTAGGTAACAATTTGATTAATAAAGCAATTAAAATTACAGACAATTTATGTATCAAAGAAATCAAGCAACAAATAGTCAATATACTAAAAAACAGTTTCTACTCACATAAATTAGTATCAAAATTATTTCATAAAGTAATAAATAAGCATGAAGGATTATCCATTGAAACTAAAAAACAAACTACAAATAACACGACTCACAATAGCCTTACAGAAAATACAGGTGAAAATGAACATACTATTAACTTTAATACGTATCAGCCCCAACCCAAACCAGTCTTAAACAACACTTCAATGCCAGCTGAACAAATAATACAAAATACACTGGACTGAACCGAAATTCAGAAAATAGTAATAAATGTGTACCTATTTCCATAAAAATTCAAATCCCTAACATACATTATCATAAAAACTTTAAAAAAATTATACATAAATGATTTCAAATTCTCTCTCATACCCAGACATCCAATATGAAAATTTACCAAGGCAAAGGACCCAATACCTATCCAAAATAATGGAAATTTAACTTATTCCATGTAAAAATTGCAAAAAAGTTATTTATAGGAATCACATTGACTGAAATAAAAACAGGAATATATAACCACAAAAGTACCCTAAAATCTAATTAAAAAACAGTTATTGCTTTATCAAACCACGTAAAAAACTGTAGGCAGGAAATAGATTTTGAAAATATTAAAATACTACATAAATCAAACAACCGATTAAAGCTCAAAATTTTAGAATCCATATATATAGCCACTAGCGGATCCAGGATTTAATTTTGGGGGGTCTTCAGCCGGGAAGCATTTTTTTTTTTTTAAAATAACGATAATTACTTTGGAAAAACAGAAAGAAACTAACTACCTATATGAAATGGTGTTTAGGTGATTCCTTAAGTCCTTTTAAATGTAATTACACAAACAATAATACTTTAAGAGGTATTTAAAAAAAAAAAATTCCATAAAACATGGTTATGTTTTACCATTTGGGGGGGGAGGAGGGTGGGCTTCAGCCCGAAAGTCCTCCCCCCCTCGTAGATCCGCCCATGTATATAGCAATATGTGTATTATTGACCAACAGCTTAGGCCTGGAGAAGGTAATAAGAGCAACATCACAGAAAAATGGAGGACTCCACGTCAGAATGAATCATAAAATACTTGGATTCGCATAGGATACTAGCTGTCATTGAAAGTTATCAATCGAATAAGCGAATTAAGAAAATCGCTACAGCACTGATAATGGCTTGGCAACATGTTGGATACAAGAATTCTCAAAACTAAAATAGGACACACCCTAATGTAGATGAAACCTGGAGGAGGTTGTCCATGGGGAGGTGTGCTCTCTCCATTACTGTGCTGCTTGTTGGTGGACTCCTTGCTCTTAAAACTTAATACTGTACGCTTTTATGAACAAGGATATGTGGATGACATCGCTATTCTTATAGGAGGAAAACATCAGAATGTTTTTTCTAATCTGTTATGGAATGTGACAGGTATCTTGGAGGGATGGTGCCGGTCTGTGTGTTAGGTTTGTGACCAAGATAAATGTTTGCATCTTCACAAAGAAGATAAAGGTAGAAGTAAGACTACCTAAAATAAACAACATCCTGCTAACAGTAAGTAAGGAGGTCAAACACTTACGTATTATGCTGGGCAATAAAATGATGTGGAATAAACATGTTGAGTACACAACTAATAAAGCACTAAAATGCCTTTGGGCATGTAAGGATGCTATTGGAAAGGCATTGGGACTTAAACCTCTGATGATCTACTGGCTGTATGTCACAGCAGTTAGACCTGTGCTTTTATATTCAACTGTTGTATGGCGACATAGGGCAAGAGTGGGCCACAATAGGATACAATTACAAAGATTAGCGTGTTTAATGATAACAGGTGCAATGAAAACTACTCTGACTGCAGCCATGGAAGTAATGTTAGGTCTATTCCCTCTGCTATTGGAGATTGAAAACAAGTCTTGAAAACTTTTCACAGGCTACAAAAATTAAACTTATGTTCAAAGATACACACCCTGGAGGGACATTGGAAAATAATTAAAAAAATTGAGGTAGACAGGTTGCTTACAATGCATTCTGACACTCAGACTAGAGAATTTCTTGCAGAGATGCATAATGTAAAAATAGACAGCTCAGTAGAATACAAATCCATTAATGGAATTAATTGCTATACTGATGGGTCACTTATGACATGCAGATCTAATGCTGGTTTTTGGAGAAAAACTTGTCAATAGCACTCGGCATAATGCAATGCTGTTCCAATCTGAAATACTGGAGATAACTAATTGTCTCAAAAATGTTGCTTGACGGGTTAGTGGAGAGGAAAATTTCCATATATAGTGAGAGTCAAGCGGCTATACCAGCACTGGATAACTATACAAATAGATCTAAGGCTGTAGAGGATTGTGTGAGAATTCTCAATGACTTATCCAGACTGAACAAGGTAAACATTGAATGGGTTCTGGGTCACTCTGGAATTCATGGTAATGAGATGGAGGATGAACTGGCCAGACTAGGCTCACAAAAGATTCTCATAGCTCCTGAACCTATCTGTAGAATTAGTCAGTGTCTAATAAATAACAGAATTGGGGAGATTTATGGTGCTGAAGCTAAAAAGGAATGCTACTCAAAAAATAGGGTGATTGATCCCAAGGAAAACAAGCTCATCAACGCAACAAGCTTACTACAGTGCATTGAGACAGCAGGAATTACACTCTAAATAGTAGTGACTTTAATAGAGGCGTGCAATAGGTCTTCATAGCCACAGTGCATCCATGCCATTTAAAAAAAAATTCATACCCATATTTTCACAATCAAAATGCCCATTAAATCCCTAAAAAACTTGTCAATTTGTATTTCTTGGGAATTATATCTATAGAAGAAAGACACTTCAAAATATAATTTATTTCAGTTTATTGTCAATTAAGACTATGCAGTATATTGCCACATTTTTTTTAAAATTATTCCAACACAAGCATGGGCATCATACACAATAAATATAAACTTTATTTCATGAAATTAATAATAATGAATAAAAGATAATAAAAAGTTAATAACTAGTTTTTATTTCAAGTTTCGATGCCCATAGTCATGAAGTTGAAGACTGAGACAGTTACTAATAAGTCTTCATTCAAAATAAAACAAATTTATTTAATGCACTAAAACATGTAATAAAATAATTCTGGTTTACAATCACAGACCAACAAATCATTTAGAATGATAATAAAACCTATCGCTAGCTTGCAAGAAGTCTGGCGCAACGCAAAATGTAATTTTTAACTAGAGTGCTCTCTTTGTGGTTGCACATTTGTTTGTATACACATATTAATAAACAGATAATTTATTAGAAATCACTAAAAAAATATTAATGGTTTTCCTCTTTTGGATAAACATCAATATGAAAAAAAATTAAGTTTTGAATTATGCCAGCCTTCTTCCAAGGTTGTGATATAATTTGTTTAAATTAAAACTATAATTTAAAAATTAACAATGTTATATCACTAAATAATAAAATTGATAAAGAAAAATAAAAACATTTTAAATACCATCTTTAAAGCTTTCAAAATTATTTTAAATAATAACATAAAGTTGACACTTTCAACAAAGGCAACAACAAAATTAAAAAAAATTCTCTTGTATTTTACAAGCTTTTAATCTATATAATCAAAACTTGATTTTATAATAATCAGCAGTTCATTATTTATAACATTTATTTATATTCACATATATACAATTACTTAAATATATATACATATAATTATACAACAATAAAGATATTGCTAGGGCATTTTTTTTAAACAATTTAAAAATGATAATTATTAACAAGAAGAGAGCGAAGTGAGAGATCTAGGAGTGAAGACATGAATAAGAGAGTCCCAGCCACAATCTGCAATTTGTCCTTCTATATGATTATTAAAGTCTAAACCATATACGAATTCCGAATGGTGCCTAATTGTTTCAACAGCTTCTGAAGAGGCCTTAAAATCCCAAATCCTAAAGTCAAAAATAAAATAAATAATTTGTAATAAGGAATGAATTATAACCTTATAAAGTTTAAAAATTGATTAAAAACACTAAACTATCACCTTTTTAATTACCAAGTTAGTCGCTTATGCCATGTGGAGCTTTTGAAATGCTTACAAGATTGTTAAATGATACCAGGACTGAAAAATCAAGACCACATCCACTATTCATGGATCGAAAAAACAAACACAAAACTTGGCTGAATTCAATTTAACAATTCAGGTTAACCTTTAAATGGTTGTTATTAAGGGATGTAAAAAGGACATTCAACTATAAATCCTCAATCCAGAAACCATATGATGAACAAAATAAAATATGATTGCATTTTAATTTTGTTTTATTTCTCAAAAAATTAGATCAACAGGCCAAATATTAATTGGAGATCTGTCATTAAATAGTTTCAATGTTCTTTAGCCTGCTGCTACTAGTCAATGGCTGAACGTATGTATGAGAAGGAGCAATGACTCACTTAGTGCAAGAAAATTGATTTTGTTTGCTTAGAATTGAAAAAAATTATTTTAAGTGTCATGTGGAATTCAGCAGGTCAAGATTATGTTCAATAATGACTAGCTGTATGTGGCCTGCACCAGGACCAAGGGATCCAACAGTTTGTGCCCCAAGGAGAACGGGGCCCAACATAATTTATAAGAAGGTCCTCAGTTAAACTCATACTAAAAACCTTTTGCTTACAGATTTTTCAAAATAACTGTAAAACTTTGGAAAATAGCTGTAAACAGCCAAGCCACACCACTCGGAGGCTAAAGGCAGACTGGGATGTATTAGGGATGGCTAAGGATAATTGATAATATTGAAATATCGATATTTTTCTTCCGATGTTTGATAATTTACCACCGTACTTACATACTATTTTTATCAATAGATAACATGTCAATTTACAGTTACACTTATAAAACTTAAAAAAAAAAAATACAATATACCTGGTTGTAAAATCATATGAAACTGAAGCCAAAATCGATAGGTAGTGTGGTGAAAACTGAACTCTTCTAACAGCATATTCACAACCCTTTGAAGGAAAATATCTAGTTATTAATTATATCTCTAATTGGACTTAAATTATAATTAATAGAAAGAACAAAACTTTTGATCCAAAAATGTAAAGCCTAGTACACACTAGTAGATCATGTTGCGCGATTTGTTATAGCCCGTCTAGACACGATTTATAGACACTGTTCTTTGTCTAGCACTAAAATGTGAATTTCTCAGTCTCATCTAAGCAGTCCTCCATGGAGGACATTGTTTTGTGTAAAATGAGTTCCTGCTGAGTGCTCATTACATGTGAAAGAGTGAGAAAACCAACCATTGGAGTATTTTTTTTCCATTCCTGGTAGATTGAAGTTTTTAAATTATCAATTTTCATTTCTATCTCCGCTATTGTCACAATGTGCTTTGCAGCTAGAGATTCCAGGACCACTTTTCTTTATACCTGGTTTTTATAGTAGGAATCTGTAACATTCCCCAAACAATAAGATGCATGGTAATCTTCAATTAGTTTTAAAACTTTGTTGGTAGACCACATGTTTTCAAAAGAACTGTAAAACTTTGGAAAATAACTGTAAACAGCCAAGCCACACCACTCGGAAGCTGAAGGTAGACTGGGACATGTTAAGGATGGCTAATGGCAGTTGATGATATTGAAATATCAATATTTTTCTTCCGATGTTATATATTTTACCACCGTACTTCGATATTATCGACTATTGATATTATCCCAACGAAATTTTATGTTTTTAATTTAAAAATCATAATTATAATTATAATTTTCGGAAAGCTCTAGATTCCATTTGAACCTGATCGAAAAAAAATTATTCTCATCTTGCCTATTCTAATGTAGCATATAGCATTTCAGTGAATCTGATCTATGGGTGAATCACAAGAATTAAGAAGATATAATTGGTTGAATGGAAATTTAAGGAAAAACTTGAGGATGACGAAGATGGACAGGAACCAGGAAATTAATTTTATTAAGGAGGGTACAAGAATTGATATTTGCATTAATTAATTAAAAATAGAAAATAACATATATTTTGATAAGAGTATTTTTGGGGGCGGAGTGACCGAGTGGGCTAACGTGTCTGAAGATGAACTGAAAAAATAATTACGAGTTCACATTCCGGTGCCGAGGGGCTTTTAACTCTGGTACCAATTCGTCTGCCCTGGGAAAACTCCTTTTTGCCTGGAAGGCGAGAAAGGGGAGGATAGACAAATACAATAAAACAATTATAAGCATATATTTTTTATGAAATATTCATATTTTAAAATTAATAACGAGTATTGAATAACCATTCAAAACTTTTTTATGCCTATGAAAATATTTTGATGGTATCGTTAATTATACGTTGATATTTCTATCAATGACAATATATCCCTGATTATATAGCCCACCCCTAAGACGCCTGTCACCTCTACACAACGAGTAACGTTCACACTTTAAATGTTGTGCAACATGTCTAATGTTGCAAAATGTCTCACATTTCGATCAGGAGACATTAGACCTGCGATTTTTGGTCTCTGAACAGGCCTGCAGACAGGGATTTGTTTATAAATATGTCTATATGACAAACTGAGCCATGTGTATCAGAGAGCAAAATTTTGCAACATGTCTACTAGTGTGGACTAAGATTAAGAGATTTAATGACAATTTATTAACAAAAAAAAATTAATTAATACAAATTAAAATAAAGCTAAACAGAGCAAAGATTACATGAAATATAATCTTGATTGAATCAGACCAAAAAAAATAGGTACATTTGCATATTTACTCACTTTTTGCTCAAATATTGGGTAAGCAAGACTCCTCAGATCCCAACCCCTGATGAGACCATCAGATCCTCCGGTAGCTAAGATGTTTGCATCATATTTGCACCAACTACAACTCAGAACTTCTGCGTCATGCACTCTCATAGTCATTGATGCCTTCTGTGGAACATTTGAATTCCATATTTTCATGGTGCCATCACCTATGCAAAAGAATGTTTTTGATCTAATTTAAAGATGGTTTTAAATTGACTATGAAAACGTCATAAATAATATATTTAAAAGTTATTGTACATATAAAATATTTTTGATTTGATTTTTGAAAAAAAGTAGAAATTCGGAAACTTTAAGTTCCTAAAACCCATGCACATTATTTAAAATAAAATAATACCTGACACAGAAGCAAAACATGATGGGACATGAGGAGACCACATAGCATTATATACCAGCTGTGAATGGCCAAGGAATGTGGAAAGTGACGAACTTCTAGTTGGATCCCACTAAAATATTAAATCAATAATTTCTATAAATCAAAATGATTAACAGCTTAATTGAATTTATTCATGCAAGATTATTTAACAACATAATAGAAATTTTATTGCAAGACTCATCAATTAAAGAAACATATAATAATAAATATAAATAACTGATGATTACCAGTTTAATTGAACAGTCCCATGATGCAGACAAAACATGTTGTTCTTGCCTAGTTTGGCTCCAGTCAACACTGTAAACTTCTTTTTTATGTTCTTTCAGAATTTTAGCAGGAGCCTGAAACAATATTTACATGTAATAGAAGCGGTTATAGAATCAATTCAATAATTCTCAAATTTTACTCGTATAATTATTAAGAAACATGTTCAATATACTATAAGAAAATAATTATTTATTCAGGATAAAACATAATAATAAAAAAAATAAGTAAAAGAAAAATTGTCAGAAGGTGCTCTATAACAAGACAGTTTATCCCTGCATTCAGTTAGCTATGCATTTCTTTCTATGATCATGGAAATCATGAAGAAGAATGTACAACTATTAGTTGGATAAAATGTTTATACGATAGTGGACAGGTGACAGATCCAGTAGTTTTTGGGAAGGGAAAAAGAGGAACTATTAGGGAGACCACACAATTTGGAAGACATTCTTATTTATGGGAGAAACCTTTTCTGCAGGGGAAATCACAATAGATGAACTGTCTAATGATTTTATATCTTGAACTATTTAAAATTGATTATTGTAGGTGCAGGTAAGGTAATTAATTAATTTCTTGGATGAACCTACAACAATTGAATTTGTCACAAGCTAAGTCAACTTTTTAATTTTTTATATATAATGAATAATTTGTTCACAGTCATTTGCAAGTACTAATAGATATATTTTAAACAGCAATATTTAATTTTTCGCAATTGTTATTTTAGATGGGAAAGTTTCTTTCTGTTCCTCCACTGCAGTGAAACTTCAATATAATACGGTTTGATATTCTATGGTATTTGGTGCTCTGATGGTTCTTAAAATAATATGATATAATTTTTGTGTTAATGTACATTCTAGAACACTGTAATAATCAAATGCCTTTCTCTTTTGACTATGGATATATGTATATGTACAACTGAACATATATGTATCTATATTTTCAAATTATCAATAGGGAAAAACAAATTTACATATATATCTATTAGAATATAAGTGAAATTTCTTATATATAGATACATATAAGTGGTATATTGAGTTATTTTGAAATAAAACGTTAATTAAAACAGCAAAAAGGTGCAAATATTTCATCACAGATTAAGGATTTAGGGAGAGAAAAAATCAAGGAACTGCTAAGAAATCATTTTCTATATCTGAAGATATTTCTAAAAATATTCATAAAAACTAAAATTTTTATAATAAACAATAGTAAAATGAGGCACATTGAAATAAGGAAAAAAAAAAGTTAGATTAGGCTTGAAGAAGCAATAAGTATCACAGTTTTTGTTTTTAAGTTCAAATTATTAACAGGAAAAAAACCCACGTAAGTATGATCTGAAGGTTACAGGAAGAAATAATTACTGAGAAACAAAGATAGTAATTTAAACATCATTAAATGACTCAGCAGAAAGTAATTTAAACTATAATAGTTTTATTGACAAACTAGTAGTAATTGAAGTGAAATATCTAACAGAATGTTGAATACATGTTTTAGATCATGTATTTAAAAAAATAAAAACTAAGATTAAAATAAATATATAAAACCATTTTTAAGAAGTGATTTTAAATTATTCATTTCAACAAGACATTAAATTACTAATTACTAAAGTAATTTACCTTGGGAGAATTAACATCCCATATATGTAGAATTCCATCACCGCTTGCAGCAACAAGTATGTTTGGATTTGATTCACTCCATACTACATCAAATAAACCATCTTGCCATTCATACCGAGCAACTTCTTCAAAACTGTCATTTGAAACAAGATCAAGCACAAATAATGTTCCGCCACCTTCAACAAAATTTGATCATAAGATATTAAAATTTAAGTAGATTACTATGAAATAACTCATATATAATTTTTTCAAATGATAATATACCTGCTAATCCAAAGTATTGAGAAGTAGCACATACCAGTCTGTTAGACTGAAATGGTGAAAATCGAACAGAGTATCCATGACGATTAGGGGTCAGATAAGTTGGCATATTTTTCTATTAAACCTAAAAAAAATGCTATTAAAATATGCCTAATTAAAAATAAATGGTGTCAATCCCAATAAGTAAAAATTTCTTGCCCTTATGAATTTGGTATTTTATAAGTAAATACATATATTTTGAAGATTAGTGTAAATAAATATCTTTGAAATAAAACAATCATTATTCATCAATTTAATGTGACATAGACCACTTGAAAACATGTTTACAATCTAGTATCAGTCTGAGGAATACTATAACCATTCAGAAGTTTTCAGCCCACTACTGCACTCTTTAGAACAAATTCTGAAACACTCATACCGGCTTCCGTTCGAAACTATTATTTTTTTTAAAAATTTAATTTAAGTTTCATTTAAATTTCTAATTGAAATATATTAAAAAAATTTTCTCTACTAGATCTATTTATTTGAAGTTGCATTTAGACATTTCACAAACTATATGAATGAAAATCATCTAACTTAACAGCGATATGATTATTAAACCAAACTATTTATTTTATTTCTCTTCTTATTTCTACCGACAGCAGATGGAAAATATCAAAAACAAGAAACAAAAATACTAGCATAGTGAAATAACCATTTATATAATTGTTTGTCTCATACTTTGTGAAATGTCTAAACGCACCTTTACGATGTTTAGTATTCTATCGAGTATTGTTTAGTATACTCTGATTTCAGTTCAGATACCCAAATTTATAAACATAATTTGAGTGTTAAAGAACGTAAATACAACTGACATTGCATTTTTTTAAATATTCAAAAAAGGTCCATATTTAGCTAATAGGTTGAAATACCAGTGCATGGAGGAGAAGATATCTAAATATCTAAAATATACAGGGGGTCCCGTATGTAGAAGGTAATTTTATTAGGAGTGATTGCAGACCTTGAATTTTTAGCATAAAAGTAGCAAATTCAAGTTTTGTAGTTTTTTAAGTGAGGCCTGTATTTTATTGAATCAAATGCAATAACTAAAGAAATATTTAATTTAAGTAATTAATAGTTGCTTCATTGTAGACATGATGAAATTTAATTTAAATGAACATAGAGTTTATTATTGTTAAAACCATTTACAGAGGACTTTTGAGCGGTTAAACTAAGCTAAGTTTATTTTAGAAAACAGAATTAATTCATTCATAAGTTATTCACCATTTTTTTTCCACTATCTGAAATGTATTTTAATAAGCCCAATTGCCTAAACACACATTTTATTTATAAAAAAATGATTTCGAAAAAAATTCATTTTTCAAATATTTTTCGGATAAATTGGTTATAAACTGTGTTTTTCACCTAGATATTGATCTGTATTTTCGGATGACAAACTAAGTGTTTCTGACCCTAATATTAACCTTTTTAATTAAAATAATTGAAGCAATCAGCAAGTTTTTTTATTTTAAATCCTACAAAAAAAAAAAAGAAGCAAAAAAATCGGTCCACTAGTTCACGAGATAATCTTGGCACAGACAGACAGACCAATGCCTGTAGAATTTTTTTTTCGGACTCAGGGGGCTCTGAAATGTATAGATCCGTCGAAAACCGCATTTCGGAAATTTGAACCGATCGCAGTACTTTTCTTACCTAGTATAAGTAGGAAAGTAATAGGATAAATAGTTTGCTATAGCAATAATTTGGCCGTTAGTTAAGTTAGATAATTGTGTTTCCCATAATTTGTGAAATGTCTAAATGCACCTTAAATGGTTTTATTTAATACAGATAATAATCTAATTTTATGTGATAATCAGTGATGCTGCTTTCATTGTAGTAATTATTAATTTAAATTTTGTTTGTATGTTTATTAATTTTTTTGTAGCCAACACTATGTTTTTCGAATGTCGAATTTTAATATTGATGTTTTATACATTTTATCCTTACATTCTTAACAGGATGGTATGGTCGAAACAGGAGGAGGGGAAGAGTGGATCATACTAACAGTGCTGGCCCTACGGGGCAACCGAGAAAATTGCCTGGAGGCGCCAACCTGGGCGAGGGAGAGGAGGGGGGCGCCGGTTGTTCGTAACAATTAAAAAAAGTTACAAATCGTATGAGAATAATTAATTTTGGTCAATTAATAAAGAAACTTAATGATGTCGTTGTCTGGGGTCACGAAAAAGGCTGATATTGCATACTATGACGTGCTGATGTATTTAATAAAACTTGTAGCGTATATGTTCTAGTAAATTATTGTTTTTCTTAAAATGGGCTTATTTTTCCCCCTTTTTACTCTTTTTTTTCCTTTTATACGTTATTAGACATATATTATTTCCTACGTAAGCTGTTATTTAAAAAAGGAAATAAAATTCATTGTCATTTTAGAAAATGTTTTCTCAGAAGGCAAACAAAAAAATCTTGGATAAAAATTAAAAAACCTCTGTACTTCAAACTTTCATATATTGATGGTCTTATATTTTTTTCAGGAACATTAAATTTTTTAACAGAAAAACATATCGCTTAAAATTTCAATATATCGAACAAAAAGTTCCATTTAATATAAAATATAACATGTAATTTTCATCAAAAAGTGTACTTAATTTATAAGAGCGGTCTCCATGAGTTTTTGTGTGCCATCAAAACACCATCTCTGGTATTAATTAATATTTAATGAAATTTATTAGGAAATAATGAAAATAAAAGTTTGTATTATATATATATATATATATACACAAACTTTTATTTTAATTGATTTCCTAATACATTTAATTAATTATCATTGTATATATGTTATATATATATACAACTTAAGATATATAAAGATCGTGTAATAAAAACATTGTAATCGTGTAATAAAAACATTGTAATATTATATATATATATATATATATATACTTAACCAAATAACTCACGGTAAGATTATAAATAAGTTATTATCATTGCTTTACATAAATACGGCGCTTTATGATAAAATTTTTTCTCTCTTATGGTCCCTACAATATGTGTGTAGTGCAGATGCTTTTAAGTACCCCCAGATATTTTAAAACTTTACAAATTAAAGTGTATTTATTATAAATTTTAAATTATAGAACCAAATGACTCAACGAGATCTCACAAATGTTTTGATTGAAATGATTTAAAAATAGTAAACAACAATTTAATTATATTTTAAGTATTTTCAAATTTTATATCATATTATATATATAAGATCTTGATCATATGTTTTAAGGTAAATTGTCAGTACTTAAAAATCTAAAAAGATTAAAATTAAAAAAAATATTTGAATTAAAAAAATTTAACTACGAAAATCAGAAAATTTTATCCACTCTATGGAAATGTACTGCCATATCTACTTAAACACCTTGGTAGATTATTAGAAAAATCGATATTTACGTATTTTCTTAAACTTAGTTAAGTAGTCGGGTGCCTTTCACTACACATTACAGCTCCTAGCAAATAGATGTACCGCTGCATGTCAACAACCGAAAGAGTTTTTAGTTTCGTTCGGTGTGTGGTAGGGACCCATTATTACAGCAAGTTTAAATATTCGTAGATATCAATTTTCCTATCAATCTACCAAGATGTTTAAGTAGATATGGAAGTACATTCCCTTAGAGTGGATAGAATTTTCCGATTTACGTAGTCATCGGGTTTTTTAAAATTATAATAAACATTTTATTTATTACAATAAATGGGCCATTAATACAACAAATAAAAATCAAGTGGTAGTTATTTAAAAATATAAATATTGACGTTTTTTTTTTTTTTTTTTTTTTTTTTTTTTAAGGCTGCCGAAATTTAAAACTATATACCGTAGATATGAAAGTTTTTCCTCCTTAAAAGATTCCTTCTGTATACAATAAAGAATAAAATCAAAAAGCAATATGAAATTAATAAATACTTTAATAAAACTTGGAGAACACTGATTTCTCTATATCTTTATTGATCACATTCTCATAAAATTTTAGTCCTTGGCACAGACTCTTTTTTTAGCAAAAGATTAACATCCAGCTGAAACTTCGTATGTAACTTCATCTAATCGTAACCTACGGATATTTTATTTACGAATATTCTCGGGATTGAGCCGTTTTCAATCTGGAAGTCAGCAAACTTTGTTTATTTAATTAGGGAAACTCGTAAATACCCATTTTCTTTCCACATGAATAGTAAGATAACTTCCACAGACAGTTGGGAAAAAAGGTGGTCTTCAAAAATATTGAGCCGTTTGGCGTGACCTACACCCCCAAATTGTCAAAATAATGACGTTATCGAGGCCAAACGGTCCTAAATTTTTGTAGGACACTTTTTTTTTAATCGATTTTGCGATCAAATTGTCTTATGGACCAAGTGGAAAGCAAATTGGTATTTACGAGTTTTTAAGACCGAATTAAATAAACGAATTTTCCGATCTCCAAATTGAAAACTCCCCAATTCCGAGAATTTTCGTAAACATAATATTTGTAGGTTACGATGAGATGAAGATACTTATGAAGTTTCAGCCGGATGTTAATAATTTGATAAAAAGGGGTCTGTACCACGGGCTAGAAGAATCTATGTTTTGTGTTTTTTTAAGTGTCATTTTTTTGTTGAATAAGAAGTTATAAATAAAAAGACGTTTGATTTAAGTAATTCAACATTGCCCCTTGGTAAAATAGATACCATTTAGTTCAAATGAAGATTCTTTTATTATTAGCGATTTTTTTTTTATCATCATCCAATTACAGTTACAAATATAAAAAAGAGAAAAAAATGATGTTCGAAAATTTCCGGTAGAAGGTTTCCAATAAGAAACCTAAAAAAAGTGATTGAAGTTTCTCATGCAATCGCTTGAGAATTTCACGTTTAAATCCTGTTAAAAACCGATATTAAGTTGAATGCGTTGTTACAACTATTGGCCAGCTAACAGAAGCCTCTATATGTTATTATATTTCTAAGATATAATTAATATTTCTAAAACGAGCTCTACTTTAGGGTTTCGGTAACTCGATTTGGAGGCTTTAAAAGAGTTAGGTAACGTGATGTGATCTTGTTAGAATGGTAAGGTGCGCAATCTTGGAAGCCGGAAAAGTTCTATATAAGGGACTAGTGCAAGGTGGTGAACCTAGAATCCTCTTGCAGAGGGAGTGTAGTGAACTGAAAAATCCATACAAACATTTAGTGTGCTGTAAACCTGCTATTGGGTGTTGTTTTAGTGAGATCTTTAATTGATCAGAAGAGAACCAACTACTGCGGCAGCTCAGCAACCATCTACTTCCGCGATGAACACACTTCTGGCACTCTTCAATGCCGGCGTTGTCGCCGTTAAAGTTTTCAAAAAGACAACACCTAATGGTAACTACTTTTTTGTCTAATAATATATATCGAGAAAAAAAACTTACGTTTTATCTGACGTCTTTGGTTAACTCCTTACATTAAATTAGAATTCTTAAAAATTTAAACAAACCGAAATGTATATTTATTAAAGTTTATTTTTATAATTTGTAGAACTCATTTAATTACAGGCTTTGTAAACGAAAAACCTCTAAGAAATAATAGCGATTCAATAATTTCAAATTTGATCCTACAAAGTTGTATTAATATAATTTGATAGTTATCCAGTAAAAAAATCCAACAACTAAAACCTCGTTTCAAATACATCTTGATTATTTATCAATTTAATGATTTCATTAGATATATAATATCATTTTTTTTTCTTCTCATTTTAATGAAAACAGCTTGTTTTTAATTTTTTTTATGGCTGTAAAAAGAAACAACAACACTAAAATAAAAATAATAAAAACACGTGATTGTTTTCTTGGAATTTAATACTTAAGCTATCATGATATAATTAAATTTGAACCATCAGCATTCCTAACATCGATTTCTTATTAATTTGCAGCTTAAAATTTTTATAATGCATTTTAATATATATATATTAAAAAAACAAATATATATATATATATATATATATATACATCGTTCTGTTGATTTCTTTTGGTATTAATCCATTTCACATAAAAAAAAATTTAGTAGTAACTAAATAGTTCTAAAAAAAAGTTATATATTACAACAAGTTTATATGTATATATATATATTAATAATAATGCAATCTTAGCACATTCTTTAGTTTTTTGCAAAGGTTCAAATTCACTTTGTATTAAAACGTGATAAAGAACTAATAAAATAAAAATAAAACTTGCTCGTCAGTAAAAAATAAGCAATGAAGTTTAAGAATTTTTAAAATAACTGTTTGAAACCCTTTACAATTTTTTTTTAGAACACTAATAAACCTGAGAGGAAATATGCATTATTTTTTAAATTTATTATAGTAAATATTGAGTATTATAAAATCCAATATAACAAATTCATTGTATGATCAGTTTTTTAAAAATATAATTTATTAAATGCCACCTGATTTCCCTCCTCCTGCCCCCCTGTGAACAAGTTTTTAGATTCTAACTCTTAAATAATGTATACACTACAAATGATTATAGAAATGTTTTGACTTTGACGTGGATGATAAATCTTATTAAATTTTTAAAAATCATTTTTGAGATCGTCAATATTTTATTTTATAACCTTGTTTTCCGAATTGCTTATGTTTATTTTAGTTTAAAAAGGAAATCTTATGTTACAAGAAAAGTGAAACATTATTAATTGTTTCCTTTGAATTTTTAGAAACTAAGTTTAATGTTTTAAGTAAGAGGAAATTTTTTGATACATAAAAAAAAATTCTAGTCTATTTACTTTATAGATGAAATGGAGATGAACTGTTTTAACCAAAAAATATATATTGAGTTTTTGAGAGATATGCCCATTGAAGAGTATTGATATTATTAGAAAAAATGTAATTCACAGAAAATAACTAATGAATGAAAATAAGAAAAAACATTAAACCTATTTAATCAACTTTGATATTTTCGAGTATTATATGTTATAAAAATTAATTTTATGTATTTTATATTAGGCAAGGTTACAGTGTACCTTGGCAAACGAGACTTCATCGACCACTTAGACCATTGTGAGGTTGTAGATGGTGTTATCGTTGTCGACAATGACTACCTCAAGGGAAGAAAAGTCTACAGTCAGGTAAAAAGTCTAGCTTGCTATTATTTTGAATACTCCGCCTATGTTCAATAATTTAAAAAAGACAATTCATATTCCAGATATTTTTTGGATAAGGATAGTAAGCATAAATACATTATTAAAATATTTTCTTAAATATTAATTTTTTTGTTTTTAATGGACAGTAGTTATATTAAAAACCATGGTTGATATGTTTAGTTGGTACTTAATATGTGATTTTAAAATTCCCATGCGTGGTATTTAAATAATATACTTATATTGATATTAACATTCTCACATTATGAATGCTAAACAATAATGAATAAAAACATTAACTTAAAATATACAAGATATGATGGTTCCAAGTATCACCAAAGATAAATTTAATTTATGTTTCTGATAATTTCAAAACTATTATTATTATTATTATTATTATAACATACCCAATAAATCTAGAAATAATTTTCAATAAGTGAAAGAAAACAGAGAAAGAGAATCGAGGAGCTTGCTACTAAATGTGGACATTTTTTGAATAGATTTCTGATTCTGTGATATTGAATAAGTCTGATAATTTCCCAAGCTGTGTCTGATCTTACCTCCACTTTTATTCAAATTTCAACTTTTCCAGATGAAGGAAAAATCCAGTTTTTACTTTCACGTTACAAAAGAAATTGGACATGGATATATTTACTTTTGAGAACAAATTCCTCATTTAATGATGCTGATTGATAGAAAGTAAATTTTTTTGCTACTGACTTCGCAAATACATTTTTTAAAATATAACATATAATTTGTTTGAATTTGTTATGTAGTTTATCTTAGGTGAACGGACGTTAAGTAATAATTTTTTTGAGACTAAATATGCTTCACCAATGGTAGTCTATTATTTTTGAAGTCCACTAAATATAATTAAGATCCCAGAAAAAAATTTCTTTCTTGGATGTTAGTTGCAAGCTACACTCATAGATGCCAGCACGTTCCAATATGTATAAATATGTTCTCACAAATCAGAGGAATGAGACAACTATTATGTTGAAATAATTATATTCTGTTTTAGTTAAAAATAATTCTAGTTTTTCGAAATTATTTTTTATATAAAATATTTCTACAAATATATATATATATTTTTTTAATCTCGATATATATTATTGTTATTAATTTGCTCAACAGTCTCTTATCGGACCTGGGCCTCAGAAACAAGCTTCCGCCAGGCTTTCCTATCGGCAGTTATCTCCATCTTATAATTCCTATAATTCTGAGGTCTTCTCAATCCACTGCAGCCGGGGTGGTTATACAGAGGTTTCTCAGGCAACCTATACTCCTCCATTCCCTCTACATGGCCTAGCCATCTCAGCCCACCTTTTGACAGTGGCTATAATATCATCATTTCTATAGAGCTCATAGAGCTCACCAATTTTCCGTATTCGCCACTATCTCATAGCGTCATCTCTGTCAAGACAATCAATTTTGCATGAATTCCTAGCATTCTCATAGCTTTCTGTAATTCTTTTCTGCCTACATAATCATAAGCCTGCTTAAAATCTATAAAGACATGGTGAAGATCCAAGTTATGTAATTATAATTATATCCACTCGATATGATTTACTAAAAATATTTGAGTGTCGCAGTTTTTAAATTTATTAAAAATTTAAAGATGTATCTTTGAAATGATCAAAATAATGATAGTTATTTTCGTTATTTATTAACGTTTATTACTGACGGTAATTATTTTGTAAGCTGTAGACAATTATGGCATGGATGTTTCGTCTCTCTCCTTCTAAAAAAAAAAAAAAAAAAAAAAATATACAACTAAACAACAACAACAAATAAATAAAAAAGTTTTTCTTTTACTCTGTTTTCTTTTTTTAAATTTCTAACAAGTGGTCGACGCCCGTCCGGTTTGGGAAGATTACTTTGTCCAAATAGTTCCAATGATATATTGACTTTGTGTTTGTGATGCTATTGTTGTATTTTGTGTGTCCGAATAGATGTCCACGACCTACAGGTTTGGGCGCGAGGAAGATGAAGTCATGGGGCTCAAGTTCAGCAAAGAGCTCGTCCTGACCAAAGAGCAAGTGGCTCCTGTTTCTAACGAGAAGAGAGAGCTGACTCCAATTCAAGATCGACTCTTGAAGAAGTTCGGCAACAACGCCTTCCCGTTCACCTTCCAATTCCCAGCCAGCTCCCCATGCTCCGTTACCTTACAGCCGGGCGATGACGACCAGGGCAAGCCTCTGGGTGTCGAGTATGCTGTGAAAACCTACGTCGCCGAAAACCCAGACGACAAGGGACACAAGAGATCATCAGTGACCCTGGCTATTAAGAAGGTAAGATGAGAATTAAATGTCTCTTATGCCTAATATACCTTGAAATACATTCTTTAATGTCTGATTGTCCTTCTTTTATAGCTGCAATTCGCTCCACAAGGTCGAGGTCGTCGCCAGCCCAGCTCACTGGTCAGCAAGGGATTCACATTCTCACAGGGCAAGCTCAACCTGGAGGTTACCCTGGACAGAGAAATCTATTATCATGGAGAGAAGGTGGCGGCCAACGTATGTGTCAGCAACAATTCGAGGAAGGCAGTTCGTAACATCAAGGTTTGTTTTACTACCATTGATAGAAATTGGCGAAGCCACCCGAGTGAACAGCATTCTTTCTTTTAATACTTTCTAAGTTTAAGTTGGGTTATTTTATTCATATTCAACTTTGATTATCTTTGCTAACAGATCTATGTCGTACAACATTGCGAAATCACGATGGTCAATGGGCAGTACTCCAAGCACGTCGCAAGTTTAGAGACTCGTGAAGGATGCCCAATTACTCCAGGCGCCTCCTTCACCAAAGTCTTCTACTTGGTACCTCTGGCTTCTAGTAACAAAGACAGGAGGGGAATAGCTCTCGATGGGCATCTCAGGGTGAGCTTTTCTGAATATTTAATTATTCCTGACTCTAAAAATCACTTGAGAATATTTTTCTCTGTCACACATATCATCGTATTCTAGTTCATGTACATACATGAAAATCTTTTACATTGGTTCTTATTCGCAAATCAGTTTTGTCTATAATAATTTGATGTATACTATAACCTTTCTTATAGGATGATGACGTCAACTTAGCATCTTCGACCCTCGTCGCAGAAGGGAAATGTCCTGCAGAAGCCATGGGTATTGTCATTTCTTACTCCTTGAGGGTTAAGCTCAACTGTGGAACTCTTGGAGGAGAGTTGGTCACCGATGTGCCGTTCAAGCTTCTTCATCCTGCACCCGGTAAATTTTAAATTTTTGACACCTGTTGATTGATTGATGCCATGATATCATTTACAGGAATAACTGGTCTAAAAAAATAGTTAAAAAATATAATTTGAAACTATTTTAAACTATATTTTAAATACATATTTCCTTTACTAGGTTCAATGGAGAAAGATAAGATGAACGCATTGAAGAAGAGTAAGAGCATCGAAAGATCTCGCTACGAGAACTCCTGCTACGCTGATGATGACGATAACATCGTTTTCGAAGACTTCGCAAGGCTCCGCCTGAACGAACCTGATGAATAAATAAACTGCTTCAAGTTGGGATCAATTATATTCTATTATGTTATAATCAATTATAAAATTATCTATTATTTTTAACAAATAACCATATAATAATTTTAACCAGCATGATATATCACTAAAAGCAAACGTATGTTATTTTAAGGTGCTTGAACTCGTATTGTTTTGCCCTTTTGCTCTTTTGTTATTCCTTACTCGAAAATTGAAATGAATTCGGTGCCAAATTAATTAAATTGATTGTGATGAGTGCAATTTGAGTACTCGCTGATATTTGACAGTCAACTTAGCATAATGTAAAACTATATGTTAAATCTGAGAATTATTCTTAATCATTTGTTCAATAGTATTTCTGTTAATTATAAAATTGTATTTTATTGGCTAGTGAAACGAAAGTAATATATTGATTAAAATACTTAAGAGTAATATATAATATTTTTAGAATAAATAAATACAACCACTACCTTGGTAATTTTGTTTTATTTTAAATATACAATATATAGCATTCTCTCCTTACATATTTATTTCTCCCCTATTGTAACATGATATTCATTTAAACATATTAGCGCAATATATGAACATACAATAAACATAATATATTTTTCCTTATTTATAAAAAACAAGAAAATGTTACTTAAAATATTCATGTAACATCCTTAAGCGAAGGAAGTTAGTCGACTATTCTACAACTTATCGTGGATTATAAATATGACGCAGTCAGTTTTAAAGATGTTTATTGATGCCAACGTTTCAACCCAAACTTGTGGGTCATCATCTGGGCATACAGCCAGTACTGAAGGTGTAAATGTACTACGGATGATTCTGGTACAAGTGGAATTCATTCATACGTAGTGGTGGTGTTGGTATAAGTACTTAAACACATTCAGTGCATAACATACCCTGATGACGACCCACAAGCTTAGGTTGTGTGGCAACAATCAAAAAATCTTAAAAACTGACTGCGTCATGACTATTTATCACCCATTTTCTTTTAGCATATATTGCTTCTATTACGGTTTTAAAAACAATATCATTTTATCGGAATAGATTATTCCTATGAAAAATATTGATACAAAAAGTATGGCAATAGAAAGTATGATTGATAAAAAAAATTAAAATTTTCCATAATACATATATATGTATTAAAAACTGAAAAAATTGTGATAGTTGCATTTTCAAGGTAAAGGAACTGTTTTAGAAATAAAGACATAATATTTTGAATACATAAGATTTAAATTGGGCTGATAAAACTTCATACCGATTTCTCAATTCGTCTACTATTTCGATCTTAAAGAAAACATAATAGGAATTTATTAATACCAAACTGACCCATCTTCACCTACTTCTTGGCTTACATCGACCAACATGTGAGGTATGTGAAAATGCTAATCTGACAGTTGAACACATATTCCAGTGCAAAAAGTTCCGGAAACAGCAAATCGAACTCCAAATTGAAGACAAGGCACCGTACAAGGAAAACACTGGTATTGAAAAAACGCTGAAGTACATCCGAAAAATAAAATTGATAAGTTATATTTAAGAAGAATGATCGTCGCTAATGACCATGGCAGTCGATGCGACGTTAAATAACAGCAAATAAAAAAAAAAAAAATCAGGAAATAAAATCAAATACAATTTATGGACTCATTTGCTAAAATTGACTTTTGAATGAAATACATCTCAGAGGTTTTTTTAGGAACACTATATTTAACAATGACCAATTTTACAACCGTTTAGGTTTTTAAACAACAAATGAATGATTAATAAGAATATTTAATGAACTGTCGGTTAAAATAATTCTTAAAATAAACTTTTTTTTCTTTACATATTTTAGGTTCCAAGATTTTGTCACTCTTTTGGTTAAAATTAAGGTTTATACTTGTGTATTTTTATTTTCATCTAACCGTCTCAAAATAATTGTAGGAATAAAAAGGTGAGGAATCATTTCACTCGAGAACATCCCGATCTTTAATTGAAAAGAAGATTGGTATGGGTATTTAGTAAAAAAAATGTAAAAATCAATAAATATAACACCATATAATATACTAATACCAAAGATAATTTACCATGTGACAAGAAAAGTAACGTTATTTATAAAATAAATTGTAAAAATTGCACTAATAAATCATATATAGGACAAACGGGACAATGATTCGCAAAAAGAATAAAACAACATGAACAAAATTGTAAGTCCAAATCAAACACATCAACCGGCCTTTCACAACACGCAACATACAACAAACACCAATTTGATTTTAAAAATGCCAAAATAATATATAAGAAAAATAGTTACAATAAAAGAAAAATTATAGAGTCAATATATATTACTAAAAATTTAAAGAATTCCGTTAACAACCATACAGATGTGGGCAGTATAAATACTTTTTACGCAAATGTAATTAATAATATTCGCATATTATACAATAATTAATTTAAAAGCAATATAAAAATCATAAATTAGATAAAATAATTCACTAATGCAAAACAATAGAAGGAAAACCGGAAAAACCCTCTCCCCTTGACTATCCCCACTAGGACAGTCAAGTCAGTCCCTCCAGAAATGAGGTAGGCAAAACCCCTAAATAGGAGGACAATTTAATGTTCACTGAACAAATTATTGCGACATTAATAATGAATATATAACGGAGGACTCATCAAGATAATATTCAATTGTTTTTAATGTAAGCTTTAAAGATTAAAGTTACGTACATGTAAGGTTTTTTTATAAGAATAAGTGTTTCTTAGCCTTCATCATGGCTGGTCAGACGAAAGATTCCCGCAAGACCAACTCTTTGGTATGACCGGCCCTGACGAAAGCCTGAACTTTGGGCCGAAACGTCGGCAAAGACAAAAATAAATATAATTTATTTATTTTTACATTTTTTTTACTGTAAACTCCAACAAATCATCTCTTCAATTATTCAGTTATCAAACCACAATCCAGATATTTACTTACGACGGGGCAGGTTTAATTTCCAATAGTTTTTTCCATCTCCTCTTTGTATCATCAGGGCATATTACCTCAAGAAAATAAGCTAATAATTAATTAAATCAATAAACTTAATAAAAGAAGATTAATTGAAAAATATTATGTAAGCTCATCGTAAACATTTGTTATTTAATAAATTTTATTTTGGCTTGCGTTACTTGCCCAGGACGTAATGTAGATCGATATAAAGCAATGTTGAATATTAAGTTGGTTATAAGAAAATTTAGATTTAATTAAGCAAAATAAATAATTTGTAATCAATAAGCTAAATTGTTAAATGCATTGTGTCATATATTTCATCGAATATATGTTATTGCATTTGTCGGATGGATGACTTTTGTTTGAAATAACGCTAAAATGCACTAGAGGAGGCCTGTTTTTATAATGTGATATTTATGTTGTTAAAGTGTGGTAACGTAAATATTTTTTTTCTAATCCGAATAAATGTGAAAATGGTGTAAAGTTTATATAGAGTCCTTAAACCACCATTATAGGATACTGCCCTCTCTTACCAAATGGTTTGTTTTGAAACTAAATAGGCGAAAATAATCAAGTTAGCTGTGAGGTGTTCCTATATCGTATTTACTTCAGTAAAGGACTTGATTTTTACACTTCGAATTGTGCTTAGTGTGGTGAAAACGTATTTTCAATACGTTACTATCAGAGATTGTTTAGTGTCAGATCTGGGTTTGGCCAATATTTAAGAAATATATACATAAAAAAATATTCATAAAAGAAATCCTTTAAAAATTTTAATATGCAATAAAACAAAATATTTTTATTTTAATAAAAAAACACGCATATTAGTAAATGCATGGTGTTTATCAAATCAAGCTTAAACTTATTATTGTATTTCTTAAATAAAAAAATAAATTTTTCTTTAAGATTATGGATTGGCATATCGGTGTCAGAAACAAAACTAATATATAGCCTACTTCACGACTGTAGGCTAACTATAGATCTATAGATCAGACTGTGTTCGTTCGGTATACATTGTACTGTTTTGTATTGATTCACTGTTGGATTGATCCTTTTTTACTAAGTTAAAGTGAGATATACTTACATCTGATCTATATTTATGCTTGAATTAACGAAACGTCGATAGCTTAATTATTACTACTGTTTCTGGTACTCAAGGTTATGTTTTTGGAACCTTCTGAAGACGCTCTAATTTAGTTATTATTTAAATTTTCTAATTTTGTTACACTGTTTAGAGATCATTTTATTTCAAGACTGGCGAATAGTATGTGACTAAAACTCGGCCGAATCATATCAAGTATGTTAAAGAATTAGATTTAATTGACAGGGCACCCAGACAATTTAAAACTGAGAGCGATCCAGACTGATAGTATACCTGAGGTCACGGTCCTGGAAGATGCTCACGGTGGAACAATTTTCACCTTGCCAGCTGTTCCTTTTGTTACCACTGGAGCAATTAAGCCGAGTCCATCCTCTGGAAACAGAGTACACGCATGCTCGGAGCAGATCTCTCTACCGGTTGTTTAGCACTCAATCTGGTTTTCAGTTCCAACAAATTTATTGATGCGATAATTAGAGAAGATGCAAAGGATATTTATTATTTTTACTTTCCTCTCTCCTATTTGAGGAATATTTGTTGTAATCGTGTATAAGTTTCGAAGTGACGTTTTCACTCTTCAGATATCCCTGGGTCAAAACATAAACATTTCCTGCCAATGGTTTGTACGTCGGTCTGTGCCACGAATATTTCTTCATCAAGCGAACCCATTTTATTATATGCCTCTGCATCTAATCGAGCAATAGCCGATATCCGTAATCAACATTTTCTTTAACACTGTAGGACCAAAAAAACTCTAGCGATTTTTAATAAATATTTTCTTGGTCGAAAATCTTACTTGTGAAAAGTCACGAAGATAAGAAAATCTTGTTTGCACATAAATCGAAGAATAAGTATTTTATGGTAAATTATATCTATTATCTAGTTCTAGCATAAATGCTGTTACAAAAGTAGAACTTTGTTTACATCCTTCGGTATTATTTAGATAATCCTTACTTCTATCAGATTATTTTCTTTAGATATCATGATAATAATCCTAATTAGTTTGTATTTTTCTTTCGCTCAGTTAACCTGGAGTGGAGTGATTAAGAAAACCGAATAGCTGTGATCGCCTTACACAAAGTTGGAAAATGTAGGTCAGAGATTTTCAATGCATTGAAACCTTTGGGTATCAGCCGTATGTTCGTGCACACCACTATAAATAGATATAATGAAACCCTAACTGTATGTGACGCACTGTCAGAACTGCAAGTGGTTGCTCGAATCAGAAAAAATTCTATTCGAAAATTACAAATCATGTCTCGGTAAATGGGAATCTATGTCAGATCAATGTGACAGTAGAATGGGTGCATTTCGAAGAATGACAGAACAAAGGTTAACCCCTTTCCTAAAGTGTTTTAATGGCTTTGCCCAGAAAGAAACCCAGGAAGTCAATGGAAGAGTGGAAAGAGGTCATCACCCTTCCTCAGTGATGATTTGATGGGGAGTTTGCCTTAATGGCACCACAAAGTTCCATGTTTTGTGAAAAAGGAGCTAAAACTATCA